ACTGAACATAGCCATAGATGATAATGACTGTCGTAGCTACATGCACCTAGCTACGGACCGAGAGGGCCATTTCCTGTGGTTGGGGGCTGAAGCATAGACAACTGTCTCACGAGACTCTAGGTACTGGAGAGGACATAAACATTCCTTTTGCTAGATATTGGCAATGACTACATCTAAGGTATATGTTGGCACTGGAAAATTTGGTGAGGGCAGAAGAAAGCAGAAGAAGGCGACATATGGGGTTTATCATGTAATCCTTTAAGAAATTTCACATGCTAGGGATGTGTATGGACAGAATATTTAAAACACAACTGAAGGTAAAGCAAATAAGAAGTACTTTGTGATTCCTATGGAGGAACAAGCTTTTGTGTATTTGTGTGCATTTATTTTCTTTTCACTTTACTAAGGGGTCTATTCACAAAGCTGCCGAGGGTGCCAGCTTCGTCTTTCAGCACGGCTCAGCGCTCGACTGAGCCGCTCGGCCGTGATCGGGAGCTGTACGGGCTATTGTGAATAGCCCGTACAGCACCCCCTCGGTTCTCCTGAACCGAAGGGGTCCTGGTGCCGAAGCTAGCCGAAGGATCGGCCGAAGCTACGGCCAGATCCTTCGGCAGCTTTGTGAATAGACCCCTAAGTGTCTCTAGAAATGTGAGTATACACCAGAGGAAATACTCGTATGATGAGACAAAATACAAATTCAGTTGCTTGCAAAGCATCATTGAAGCAGCGGATCATTTTAAGATCCAAACTCTTAAATCCTGCTTTCTACTGGGTGATCAAAAGTACGCTTTTGATGAATAACATGTATTTTCAAGTAAGTGTAAAATTGGCAATAGGCCTTATTGACTTTGATACAGATATTCCCCTATACTTATGACATCACTGCACCAGTTGCTCTGCTGTTGTCACACCTGTGCGCCTGAGCACACACCAGGTATTCACATTGGCAGAAATATCCAGGGTCCCTATTAGTGTACAGATATCACTGCAAATTGTGTAATGATAATCTTGCGGTCCTGGGTGTGTGTTTTCAATGGCTTGGTACAATTTCTGCAACTCCTATAGTAACATAACGATCTCTACGGACACTGCAGCCAACCATATAGCATAGTACTGTGAAGAGCACTGCATCTTTTTTAAGTCACTAAGATTTGAGTATGACATTAAAATGATGAATAGGTTGTTTTGTATTGTAGTTTAGTTACTATGATAGCTGCAAACAGTACTTTTATACATCTGGAACCACTTAGCTGCGGTCTTCCCGGTGGAGAAACAATTGAAAACACAACAAAGATTCAAACCACGTGGCATTAGTCAGAATAGGCAACAGAATACATTTCCGTCTATAGTTCTTTTTCACACTGGCTATAGCGTTCTTTTAAAGGTACCACTGAGATTTGGAACTGTGAGGGTGACACCTGAATGACCCAAAGAGCACGGCCAACTCAGTGCCGACCACAGCCAGTCTTATGTCACTGTTTGTAACTGCACTGCAGTACGTGTTGCCATGCGCTGTGATAATGCATGTTAAAATAAGCATTTGGCCCTGGAGTTACCACAAGGCTTAGGTCTGAATGGCCCTTAGAGCTAGTGTTTAGGGTGTTTTTTTCTTGTTGTTGTCATATGTTTGTGCATGTTTAAAGTATCTGGAATGCAGTGTTTACATTTTGACTTCATGTAGTAGCATTCACTTGCATTTACTGTAGCTTTTATACTTTTTTTTGGTCTTTGTTTTAATTGCTTTTTATTCCTCAGATCATGGTAAATACATCTCAAGCCCTTTTCAAGCACATCTTACTGTAAATTTATCTCAGACAGAAGAGCATTATGCAATACATGATCCAACTTTCAACATTCTCATAAATTACACAAATACATTTAACCATTGAAGTCCAAGCATCTATTTTAAATCAGCACTGGTACTACATTTCTTAGTCCCAATGACATTATGAATCAGTGCTTGTTTTCTGTGGCTGCATGTGGGTCTGCCAGGGGTTGGGGGTGATATCCAGCAATAAATCCTGAAAGTAAATCAACCAGCTTCTGGGCTTTTAATCCCGCTACAATGATTTCTATAAAAACATCCTATAGCACAACATAACCACAATGCCTCTGCATTGGGGTGCATATTTGATGCTTTTTTACTTAAAAGCTGCATTTGGAAAAATTACTGAAAATGTTCCCTCTTTCCTAATTAAAATCCTCAAAAATCAAAACATTTATCCAAATTCACATGTTAGGCTACATTACATTTAAAAAAGTTGCTTGATACAGAGCCAACACTCCCAAAACGTTAAAAAAGTTCTGGAAGAAAGGGTTAAAAGAACTGTGACTAAAGCGAAGTATAAGGAAGTGCAAAGAGAATTGGTAAACCGTAACCCATAACAGCCAGCCAGATTGGAGTTGTAGATGGCAAAACACATCTGCCTTTGCATACAGAGATATTGGGGAAGGGGGGTGTTTACTACAAGCTTTTGCTAGAAGATCACAGTTTCACAATTGCCGAAGCAAGTTGGACTTGTACTTAAACACAACTACAATCCTGTTGATTAAGCCTGCTAGGAGTGGCAGAGTTTTGGCAATAAATTAATGGTGCTGGTGTTGAGAGGACTAATGACAACTAAATGCAGTGTTCAGGTTACTGAAACTAACTTGTAATCAAAATTAGAACTGAGATGTTGGTTTGCAAAATCTCAATAACCTGGCAACTGTATTTGGATCATCCTTGGATTTTCTTGTGTCTGTCGTTTTTTGTTATAGTAATGTTTTCCTTTCTGATGCAAGCTAGTCAACTAATACACATAGCCAGGTGAATACAAAACAGAAATGGCAAACATGTTCCGGCTCTCCAGCTGTTGTTGAACTACGAGCGCCAGCTTGCAGGGACTTGTTGTTCCTCAACAGATGGACAGCCAGAGCTTGCTGTTTAGGTTATAAATATATTATATATTCAAAAATGATATTTTTACATTTTTATACGTGGACTCCTGTTCTTGAGACTGCTAGCTTGCAGTGATGAAAGCAGTGGTGGTGGTGGTGGGGCACTGGGTTCATTTCTGATCTTCAGTCAGCAATTAAACTGTTAATTTAACAAATGTGTATGGTAAAGACAAGTAAACATACCTCTCCCTGTGGGAACATAAGGTATGGAAGCCAGCTGTTTAGTTGGTGCTGTTTGCCCCTGTCTGCAGTAGCACATAAAATGCAGAGAGGAAATGCAGAAGTGAAGTGCAGGCTGGGAAATAGGAAGAAAATGCTGGTGCTGCCAGGTTCACTACGTATGCATTACATTGTGACTGGCCATGTTTCTGTGCCAACTGTAACCCTTGACAGCTATCCCAGTGATGCCAGGGCACCATAACATCTTATATGGCCTCTCAAGCTAATAGCCGGCTGAGCACTCGACTTTTCCACACAAACGTTACGCTCTTGCTAGTTCCAGGAGCATAGTCCTACGCAGTGAGAAATATGCTGAGGTAGGGATGATGTAAAACTGTATACTATTTTAACAATATTTCAATATGTCTGATCCAGATGTAATTACTCTTAATGTGATTTCAGTGAGCCCTACGTTTTGTGCCAGCTCTATGCATCTCCTCCTCTGCTCTCCCACTTCGGAACTCAATTTGCTTCTCCCTTTTTCCTAGTTCTTGCTGTCGGTTGCATTCCATTCTTTAATGCATAACATTTCTACGTTTAAAGGTGGACAAAATAAAAAATGACATATATGACGCAGTCTGTCACTAGCCATTTTATTTTTCTGAGTCCCTCATATCGGATCTACTGGCAGCATCAACAGGTAATAAAATTATGACTCAGAAAAAAAAATTGCTACTGACAGACTGTATCATACATGTCTTTTTTTATATTTTCCTTTAGTTCCACTTTAATCCTCTTTTAAGCTCAAATTCATGGCACTTTTACTGAATTAGAACATTCTGAAAAATACTTCTGAGTCTGAGACTAGTGTACACTAACCCTTAGGGTGCCCATACACTGTGTGAATTTTGGCCGTTTTTTGAGGAACTGGTCGAAATTCACAGAATGTGTGCCAATATCAGCACCCTTTCGGTCTGCATCTGGTCGAAGGAGCTGGCCAGAAAATGTTTGCACGATAGGAGCTGGCAGCCAATGAGCTGCCCGCTCTCTTTGGCCAGCGGCCGCTGTCAAAATACAATGCAAACAGCGGGATTCCTCAATCGACACTCCTAAGTGTTCATGGAGGAATCTGCTCTATTTTTCTCCTTCAGCCCAAGGGTTGAAGGAGAAAAATAGATCAGTGTATGGCCACCTTACCTGTGACAGGAAGTGGGATCTTTAAGCTGAGCACCAGGCAAACAGCTATATTCACACTAGTGCACCGTGGCGTCCCTAACATCCAGGTAAGGCAAGTGAATGTTGGATTTTCTCGGTTGGTGGAAGCTTAGGAAAAAACATACCCAGAGTTGGGCTTTAGGGCTGAAACACACTTTTGAGGTGCAGAGCATTGAGGCAACACGCACTGCAATGCCCTAATGCACTAAAGCAATGCAGCTCCCACGCACATGCAATGCAGCACACCACAAAGCATGCTAACACACTACCAAAAACCACTGACACTGCCAGTTTTTGTTCAAATCGTAAGCTAACCTTAGATTAACACACGTCTCTTTTGCATCAATTCAATGGATTGACAGCACAATTAATGCTCACTTTATTCTCACGAGGATTGTACATATCTCACAAAGAATTTCCAGCAGTCTGGAAACTTTTTGTGAATGATAGCATTTGAATGTGGGAGGATGAGCCTATTTATGGGTAGTTTTATGTTTTTAGAAAGTCGGAAGAGAAAGCAGATACTGTATATAAATAACTGTAATGTGAGAAATAACATTTTCCATATATGCGAATATGAAATTGGATTCCCAAAGCAAAAACAATGTACATCTCATCATACATATTCAGCAATAATGTCTATCGTTGGGATGATAATTGAAACATATATTGTATCAGATATTTACCTGTCACCTGTTAAAGGCATAATGGTAGTTGCTTGAGTTGAGAATACAATGAAGGACACTCTCAGTCTTGGACTAGAAAGAAAAAAAGAGTAAAAGGAAATCTGTTAATACATTAACACTTGGTAGAATACATTTTTAGGATAAGACCAGTAGTGATAATGACACCAAAACCCACAAACAAATCCTACATTCCTGTGCCTTGTTTTAAATACTTACATATACTGTTTTATTCTTACTATATTTTTTGACATAAGAATGAAGGGAGGGACGGAAAAAAAAGAAGACAAATGAAAGAAGAACAGCAAACAAGTCAAAACCTTAGGCAATTAAAATAGAGCAGATAAATTAAGAAATATATACAGAGGAACTGCCTACAATTAAAACTGACTGTCAAAGCAACCAATAGATCAAGTGATACTTTAAGGGGTCTATTCACAAAGCAGCCGAAGGATCTAGCCGTAGCTTCGGCTGATCCTTCGGCTAGCTTCGGCCCCAGGACCCCTTCGGTTCAGTTCGGTGCAGCTCCGGAAGACGGCCGGCGGCTCAGTTGAGCCGAAGGCATATACTTCGGTTCGACTGAGCCGAGGTGGAAGCCGAAGCTGGCCGAGCGACAGCCTGCTTCTGACAGCTGGGTGGAGCCAGCCGTGATCTTACGGCTGGCTCTGGCCACTTGCAGAGAGATCAGCGTCCCTGGTTACCAGCTAACCAGGGACACTGATCTCCAGACAGCCTAACTCTCCCGGGCGCTCCGGGAGTCTCCCGCTCCCGGCTGCCCAGGAGAGAAACACTGCTTTTTCTTTTTTTTTTATTCTGACACGATGCCGTGTCAGAATAAAAAAAAATTCACTATAGGAATGCCTTGCTAGATTCCTATTGGCTATTTCAATTTGCAATAGCCAATAGCAAACCAGCTATTGTACCCGCACAACACTGCTGCAGTTCTCCATCAGGTCCCCACTAGTGATTGACAGCAGCAGAGGGCGGGTACAATAGCTAGTTTGCTATTGACTATTGCAAATTGAAATAGCCAATAGGAATCTAGCAATGCATTCCTATGGCGAATTTTTTTTTTTGACGGCAGCAGAACCGCCGGCCAATAGAAAACAGTTGGGCAGAGCTAGCTGTCACTGCTAGCTCCACACAATCGTTTTCTATTTATTTTTTTCTACTTTTTAAACTATGTTTCTGTTCTGCTCGGCCCCACTGAGGGACCGAGTAGAACAGCCGAGCCGAATGTCGCTCATCGGCATTCAGCTCTTCACTCACTGCTGTTCGGCATCTATACGAATAGAGTCGAACTCCTCCTGCACTTCCGGTCAGCCGAACGTGCTGAGCATGATCAGCCGACCCGAAGCAACCCGATGTACAGCTGATTTCAGCCGATATACGGCTGAAATCAGTCGTACCAGCCTCAAGTGAATAGCTGAACAGCGTTCGGCTCACTTCGCTTTAGGTGGGTCATTCACTCGGCTGCCTGCGGCAGCTTAGTGAATAGACCCCTAAGTATGTGAATATTAACTTTTCCTGTAAAAGTTGGGAGCACAACCGCCTCCCATCTCCCATGCAGGGCCGGATTTCCCACCAGGCCAACCAAGGCCCGGCCTCGGGGCAGCAGGGAGTAGAGGGGCAGCAGGGGTGTGGAATTCCTATCTCCTGATGCCCAGGACATGCAGTGCTGGGCGGGTCGTTGTTTTCTACATTTACCCCTGCTTTGGGCAAGCATGGCTAAATGTATAGCGAGGAAGCTGCTGCTTGTTTTGTATGCAGCCTACAGGTCTACCAGTCTTCATGGGGGGGAGCTTTTTGGCGGTTTGGGGGGGGGGTGCATTGAGGAACCTGGCCTTGGGGCAGCAGCGAGAGTAAATACGGCCCTGCTCCCATGCTTCTCTTTTTATCTCTTAGGACTCATTCACATCATGTCCATTGAACTGCTCTGATCTCCATTTGAGGTAGTAGGCGGAAAAGAAGTCCAGCTAAAATCTAACGGGTAAAAAAGGCTCTCCAGAAATGGGGGTAAACTGTATAATGTATCTAAATGTATTTAAAGAGAAAACAGGTGCAAAAGATCTTTTATAAGGAGGTTGGAGGTTCTATCAGCAGAACTAAACTTCGCTAGGCTAATGATGAAATCTATGGTAATATGGGACCACAGATGGTTAAGCACTTGTTATGGCAAAGATTTTGGAACAATAGCCCTGCATTATGGATGTGCAGGATCCAGGATTGGTCCATGATATGAAAAAGTGTCCACATTTTTTTTTACTGGGATGAACAAGATTTTCACTTTAATACTTTTCTCTGAAAGAAAATACATCAGGAAAAAATATACTAAGAACAAACAGAGCCAAGACTGAAGGTTTTAGAGGATGTATGACCTATATAGATGGTGACCAGATGGTTCCAAAAGGCAACACCTCTCCTCCAGGGAGAGATAGGGAGCAACTTCCTGACAATCTTCAGTTGAATAGATCTTCTTAAAAACATAAAATAAGGTACACATGCGTATAATGTCACATTACAAAAAAAAAAAGGGTGTACAATGAGTAGGTATCATGGCGTACATAAAGAAAGAAATGGGAGTGGTGCAGCAATTCTAAATGTATAAGCATTGCATTGAAGTATTCGAAAGCAAAATATAGCCTTTTTCAAATAAAGTAACAAACTCAACTCTGTGGAAAGTGACATTGAGGTGAGATGGGATGTACAGTCTGTGGGAAGAGAACAGCAATGTACCTATAACTATAAGGACAGTAGGCAAGAAAAGAAGGGGAGAAAACAAGAACAGAGTAGAGATGGAGGGAAGCAGAGTGGGTGAGGTAGACAGAAACATGGAGTATAGCTGGAGAAAAAAGGACCGACACAAGATCCGCAAGGGTAATGCATCAAATGTGTAGTGAGCAATGATCAAAGTGGGGGAGCACAAAGTGTTTTATTCATGGGGACCATATAATTTTAAATCATGACATCTTAATTTTAACTAACAACTCAGTTACTCTATATTTACAGAACAAATGATTTAGATTAATCAAGATCATTAATGGAAAAAGCATGTCAAACTTCTTAATACGAGGGTAACTAGATTTTGGAATTTCAATCAACTTAGATATGTGTTTCCTATATAAAAAAAAAATCACACAGCTTTGGTCATCTGCTCTCTACAGCAGGTCTGTGGAAGTGCAATACAGATGAAACTCGAATAATTACAATATCATGCAAAAGTAATTGCAGTAATTGCTGCAAAAGGGGCCCAAACCAAGTACTGAGTACATATGCATGCTTATACTTTTCAGAGGTCCGATATTGTTCTATGTACAATCCTTGTTTTATTGATTGCATGTAATATTCTCATTTTCTGAGATTGTGGATTTAGGGTTCTTGGGGTTTTCATGAGCTGTAAGCCATAATCACCACAATTATGACAAATCACGGCTTGAACTATCTTGCTTTGCATGTAATGAGTCTATCTCATATATTAGTTTCACCTTTTAAGTTGCATTAGTGAAATAAATAAACTTTGCACGATATTCTAATTATTCGAGTTTCACCTGTATAGCCCGTTCAAAAGAGAATTTAGAGGACCTCACAAGAACTTGAGCTCATTAAACTGCAGATAAATACAAAGGGATTTCTAAAGATGTGTCTAAGTAAAATGGAGTGTATTTATTATTATGGTTTAGATAAGAACCAACTTACATTGTCAAAAATCCGAAGAACATTTGGATTTAATAAAAATACAAGCTGCATTCAATATCTGAGAGGAAGCCTTCACATCTAACAAGAACGCCAATAAAATTCCAACTTTTATTACTATATATTAGCCAAAATCGGCTTAGTGTTTTCAGCTTATAGTGATATGAAGTATATCAAATACAAGCTGCTTTGTTCACTCTTTAGGAATATTTCAAACAGAAATGTGAAGTGTTGCTCAGTTCTCCAACATGCTCAATGTTTAATGTGATCTGAGTGGCCTTGTCTATATTGTGTATTCAGATGCACAATATGAATTTGCATGAACAAGCACAATTCAGAGGTTTAGACAGTAAGATTGAATAGCACACCAACTGCCAAGTATGCTGAATGCAACTGTGTAGACCAAGATTTCATTCTGATTTTAACAACCTTAGTCTAACTAGATAGCATACAATGTTTCTGGAAGGCTGGTCACCCTTTAAAACATGTACACGGCCTGGCATCTGGATAAACGAAGCATATATTAAACAAGTCTGACTGCATTTGGCATGCCTCAAAAATAGCCATACAGGATAATTATCAGTTATACAATAGTGGAGTTTATCAAGACTGATTGCACTTGGCAGCCAGAGCAATGAAATTTGAACTGTACAATGACCAAGGATTCTCAGGAATTCCTAATACCAACATAGAAAAAAAGATAGATAGATAGATAGATAGATAGACAGATAGATAGATAGATAGATAGATAGATAGATAGATAGATAGATAGAAAACAGTTATGGAGTAATCGAGTACACTGCACACTTTTAAAATGTATTGTTCACAAGATTGGAAAACTAAATTTAGCAAAACTGAAAATGCAAACAAGGGCATAACTAGGATTGTGAAAGATATGGGGCTCCCTTGGGCATGTTGTGAAAAACGGTGCATGTAGGGCACCATAATGAATGGTGGGTGTGGCCTAATTGCTCCAAAAGTATGGTTGAATGGGGTATGGTTAAACAAAATCTGAGCCTACTCCCTGTACACACAACTAAAATATACCACTGTCTTTCAGTAATCACAAACTATGCTTTAATTACTGTGCCACAAGCAAAAATCTTATAGATATAACCCTAACCTCAGCACTTGAAACCTGGCATGCAGCAGTGAGGAGTGGGTGTGGCAGGATTGCACATTGCACAGTAGAATATTGTGGTCAGCAATATGTGTCATAGTTCCCCTTTGTGGCAGCAGGCAGGTAAAATTGGCTGTGTGTATCCTGGTTTGCAAATATGTGTGTCCCAGGTTTAGGCTGTATAATGATTTCTTCCACTAGCGGGTAGTGCTGGGAGTGCTGGAGTGGTAGAGATAATGAGCACAGCTGAAACAAGCTGGGT